AATGTAAATGATGAGGAAAACAGTTGATTTCGGGAGAATTTGCAACTCACCCAGTCTAAACCCCATATTGGTGTCTCTTCCTATTGCACAGGAACATGAAACATAAATAACGAACACTCAGAATTGCAGAGAAACTGGAACATTAGATGATTTTATGTGGTGCAAAATTTATGAAGATCTGAATTAGTTTAAGATTTGAAATTAAGAGAGTCATTTTCTTGAATCCCATCTGGCAGATAATTGCTCCCTATTAAGTAGCAATTTGGAAAGAAATGCAGGGGGAAAAGTCAGATTGAAATATTTAGAAACATATTTCTGAAGTGTTTAAAGCTGTCTTTGAAGTCTTTGGAAAATTTATCAAATACATCTTTTTTAGGACAATAACAATTCAACAACAATTGCATAGAAAATTAATACACTCAGAAAAAGAAAATTGATCCTTTATAAATACTATCCTTAATCCAAAAGGTGTTGCATATTTGGTCAGACAAAAAGCATAGACACTTTTTTGTAAAGATACAGATTACAAAATATACTTAAAAAAAACATGCTAGCTAATTTGAGAACTGTTTTAGATATGTTATTAAGCAGCAGCATTTTATACAATAGAGAATAACATAGTGCTGGTTTTGGAAATATTCTACATTCAGAAAATGCTGTATTCCTACAAGAAGAATGGAAGTGATACATATTTACATGGATACAAATAAAGCAAGTGCAAAAACCATGGCTCTTCTACATTCTTTCTACCAATAAAAACACATACATTAGACGCTTTCATTCCATTGCTGTTGTTCAGGTCTTACATTTTGCTCATTCTCATGGAGAAAAACAAAAACAGGACTTCATATTTCATTGCAAGTATCTTCACGAGCAATTACTCTCCTGGCAAACTGTACTTCCAACACTCATAACTGACAAAAAAAAAATATCTTCCTGCTATCTGTCCACTCCCATTCCACTCTCAGACTGTTTACATATCATGAATGATGATTGTATTCTATGTATTCATATATTTGATGCAGAAGTTTATTGAAGCTCATCCTGTATTTGCAGCCAAAGCTTGGATGGAAAAATGGAAGTAAAAAAAAAATGCACACACACACAAAAATGAAAGAGATGAACTTTGAGTTCCAACGAGCCCCATGTACTTCGCGTGGTATAACTTTGATGGAAAATGCATTAGAGTTGTTCACCCTGTAGACAATATATTTGGAGGCCTTTGGTACAATGGCAGGAAGGCACTGTGGTGAAACATTCAGATAACTGAGGAAAGACAGAATTTCCTCATGTGCAAATATGGCTATCTTCCAGATAAAGTGAGAACAAATTACTCACAAAATGGTATTAACTCTTCCAAGGTTAAGCTAATGCCTCTACAGAAAGCAAGCAAGTTGCATTAAGTAACAAAATATTAATACTGGAAAAACACTGCTCAGCAAGAACAGGAAATAATTTAGTATTGTATATGTTGAAGTTCTTCAGCCAAGCTATATAATTTTAACATAACAGTTTTCTTTTTAAAAAGAGACAGCAATGCGTAATGCTATGGCTGAGGATACTCCTTTTCTCCAGAAATAAATATAATGTTGGTTAAAGCTGTATTATCTAACTAACTTTCGCATGTAAAAGTGGATAGAGTAGCACAGCCTGACCTCATGTAGCTGTAAATAAAACCACTAAAATGTAGTCTATATTATATACATCTTATGAACCCTCGCTCCAATAGCTGGCTTCATGTCCCTGCACAGGGCAGGCTGACTGGAGCCAATTACAGGATCGTGACCCAAGTTTGTAAGAGTGTGTGTGCATTCACATATAGTCATATGTATATAATATAGCACATATATATATATATATATGGTTATACTATATAAATATACACATATGTGCACCTACACAAACACTCATACAGATTAATACTTAGCATTAAAAATGAGGAAGAAATACAGCTGTTGCAAGCATGAGTAAAGCACTTGTAGCACATTTAAAAAAAAAATAAAAAATATATCCGCTCCCCCACCTCTACAACAAAGTGCCCAAAGGAACACATAAGAGCAGTGGAAATCTCAACCTTCAGTTAAAGAGCACATGTTTCATGGGAGCATCCTGCAAAGTGGCTTTGATGGCACATTGCAGGGGCTGAAGGTTCGCCTACCTGGGTCTCTTTGAATGCTGAAAAACCTTTGCTATGAGTCCACATTGTTCTTGTCTGCTAAACACGTTTCAGCCTTATAGTAAATCGGAGAGAAAGATGCTTACATGATCAATGGGGAACAGTAGCAAAAAAATAAAAATAAAATTAAAAAAACCCCACAAAACTGCATCACGACTATGCTCAGCGCAGGGGCCGGTTGCTAGCGCATTAGTGCGGTTATCTGATGTCGAGCACAGCCCAATACAGAGGACTATTGACAAGCAGTTGCTATGGACAATCACCAAATAAGCAGAGCATATTTTCAGACCATGTCAGTGCATCTACAGATTTGAAAAGAAGTTCATGTTCTTCTTTGATATGCTATTTAAAATCCAGCAAGAGAAAAGTTTCTGTCAGCTAGCTGGGATTTTTGGTTTGCTGTGAATGGGATTTTAGTTCCCTCGTGGGTGGGGCTTTTTAAAGTCCTTCTATACTTTACAGGTTGGATCAAGGAAAATAGATTGTCATTTTTGGTACCTCCAAGCATGAAGTCTGTGAAACCAGGAGACATTTTTGGTCTGGTTTTTTACACAGCTGCAGCAAAGAAGTTCTGACAGGCAACTTCTGGCCTGAGGAATTTTTCAAAATTGTCCAAAACGTCAAATTGCATTAAAAATCCGTAATACTTGGCAGATTCTGGCAAACTGGCAGTTTTAAAACAATCCAAAATAGCTTATTTGAGGCATGTAAGCTAGTTGAAGGATTATACAAGTACTGCTTAATGAGCAATAATTCCCCTGCACAAAAGTCATTTCAGTGAGTCCAAGGCTCCATTTTGTTTCTGTAAAAATCAGTAATAAAAAGGCCATTTTCCCTGCCTGTTTCTCAGGTAACAGGCTGAGGTCTGGCTGTCACAGCATTGGTACTGGTGCCAAATGTGGATCTCACAATATGGCCATCAGAATAAGACAGCCTCAGCCAGTGACTTTTTGGTGTTGCTGAAATGGGATACTCCTTTTGTGACAAAAGAGTTGATCTTTTGATCGATTAGTGGACTAAGAGCCACTACCACTCACCATCTCACACTAGTGCTGCTGGTGTGTGTTAACAGCACTTCAAGGGGAAAAAGAAGCAAACTACCCAACCTGTATTATTAATGTCAGTTTGGGATTTGAAATCAGGAAGGACTCTGCTCTCATTCTGGACCTAGGCTTGGTTGAATCCTGTGAAATTCAGACGAGTTTAAGATCCACGATTATACCTGAGGTCAGGTATTCTGTAAAGTCTAATGCTTCTGTCTCTAACTCTAAAACTGAAGACCTTGCAGAGTTAAAGTGCCAGCTTTTAGTGACAGAAAATACATTCTTCTCAGTACTCCTGAAAACATTTCTGTTGAACTGAGCACATACTCTGCAGGGTTTGTGCAAGAGCTTTCTTGCAATATTGGGGAACCAATTATGCAGCTGCTTGCCCAGTCTGCTGTATTCATATAACCTAATTCCTGCTGTAGCATGTGGACCCTTTGCTATTCAGCAAAGTTTGCTGTGAAACAACTGAGAACAGGACAGATTTACTGAGTTTGCTAGAATAGAGCTCAGGCTCTGCACTCTTAAAAGTATCAGCGTTCCTCACAAAACCAGAAAAGATTACTATGTTTCCTACAATATTATGGCTATTTTTCACTGTACATTGATTATCCACTCACGATGCCTTTTTATCACACTGTGGTAGCAAAGACACACCAAAATGTTTTACGCTTGCTAGCTGTACAACTGCAGATGGCAGCGGTTATCTCTTATCGTGATAAGCCTGTGTCAGTACAGTACATTCTAACACACAAAGCAAAACATAACAAACATACTAACTCACATGGAAATTTAACCTTTTCAGAAATTGCTGGTAGCCTTGCAAAGCTAAAGAGACAAGGTGAATACAAGTAAGTGTATACTTTTTCTGGAACATACAGTTTCTGTAAGATGCAATTCTTTTCCTCTGCAGCTTGTGTGGTTAAATGTTACAGCTGCTAAATGAGATAAGTTACAAGCCAATAGCAGGTTCTACATTAAAAGAAACAGCAACAATTTATTAGAGAGAAAATATCTAAGATGTGTTCATACACTGACTAAATATTAATAAGGATGAAACATAAAATCTTTGGATTTACTGTGACTCCTATATATTAATCTCTGTTTTATCTGGGTTTATTTTACCTTGGGACAGGTGTTAGAACTGCTGAATTGCTCTTCTCACTTGTGAGCACCCTTTTCCTTCAAATTCCTATCCAGTCTGACAAGAAAAATGAAGAAAACTCCTGGATTCAGCTGACATCTACTGTTTGGAATACTGATCACAGTGCTCAGAGTCAGAAAAAAAATGGCTTTTGATCCCAGGTCGGATAAAGGCTGAGCAAGCTTGGATTGCCTCAGTTTCCTACAACAATAAAATTTCTCAGAAGCGCTTTGAGACCCGGAGGGCAAGTCATTGTTAGCAAACTGCAAAATGTCGTTATTCTTTTATGGAATATATTACTCTTTCTTCCCCCGTTTCCCACCCCACCCAAATAAGCACTAATATATAACCTCCCTTGCTTTGTGCGGTGTTCAGGAGTGACATCTCACTTCTCCCTTAGTAATAAGATAGATCGATACATGGACAGATACTTTGCAGCAGGCTTGAAGAGTTTCCTCAGACAGATGCTCTGTTAGATGAGAACAATACGGTCTTTGGACGAAAGGAAGGGTGTCCTTCTCGATGTTTACAGAGAGAGGTGGCGAGTTGCTTAGTCAAGGCTGTCAGCTTGATGCCAGTACATTGTTCCTTGCATTGAATTGGTGCCTTGAGATGAACAGTTAAGGAAGCAGGAGGTTACAGGGGCATTGGAAGGATCTAAGAGGTCAGTTATGGAAGGATTTGGTAAAAGTTGTCTCTTCTATGTCTGATTTCTGGCAGGGAGTCCAGAAAATTCCTTCCTGATAATTTCATTAACTGTGAAATAAAAGAAAGAGGAAGAAATGTTAGAGCACTTTAAAAATCACAAAAAGTAAAAGTAATCCTTGGGCAGTTTGCTGTTAAGCTGAAAACATCCCCTCTGTATTCGTAACATAATTTTATTAAAACCTAAAACTTCAAGTCCTACTTATCCAGACTACATTTTTTTTTTGGAAGGCAAGTGGGAAGGAGTGGGTAGAGGGGGTTTACACTGTGTTCAGCATGCTTCAGGTACCATAAAAACACAACTGAGAAGCTGTACCACATGTCCAGTACATGCTACATCTCTTACATACACAACACCTTCCCTCTTTCACAGACATTTGCTTTACCTGGGTTAAAAAGTATAAATATCTGTGAGTATCTATCTGAGCATTTTAACATTTCCACTAGGCTGAAATAAGAATATTTTGAAAAGAGAAAAGTCAGATTTGGAGGAAATAGAGTGGACAGTGCTGAAACTGTTTATCTACTTTGACAAACTTGCCTTAAAACCAGAAGACCAAATTTTCTAAGCTTGCACACCCCAGATCTAAATGATTGTTCCTCATTAGTATTTAAGGGCTAGAAAAGGACTAACTCAAACCAAATAAGACCCCCAGCCAAGACTGATTAATCCTCAGGTATACAGCTTAAGAGTCCCCCATATTTAGGCCCGTTTCTGACAAATTTTATTAAAAAATTGAATTAACATAGTATTTTACCACTTCCCACAATTAAAAAAGCAATGATGCCCATTCTCCTATGGTCTCTGGGAAGGGGAAACAATGAATTAATTTTTAATGGTTTGACTAGTAGTTTAAAAGCTCCCTCCACTCTACATGCAATGGAATTTATCTCTGAGAAAGAAAAAAAAAAATCTATGTTTTATGCAAAGCTCCATGTTATTCCTGTAGAGATGTCTGCTGTGGTGGGCTATACTCCTCAAAGGCTATGTATTTGCACAGAGCACGGCACAGGTGCTTGGCAGTACAAGTAAAGAGCCACGTTTCCAGGTACAGGAAACGTGCCACACAAGGCTCTTTCCATCCTTCCATGCTCAAAAATTGCACCGTTAACAGCCCAGAGTTTAGCTCTTTCTAATTTCAGCCAGGAAATGCCTGATTTCAACCACACTGGTGCTTCTTGGAGAGGACATGGGCAAAAAAGCATGGCTGACAGCAGAACTCTTGTCCTCTCCTGAGCTCCATCTTTCTACCTGCCGCCCACACCTGGTAGCTTCTATCAGCCTTCTGGATGAATTCTTGTAAATAAAGCACATATGTGGGGTATTTGGTGTGTTGCTGCTCTGCAGTGCAAGCAACCAACCAGTGGGAGGTGAGGTCGGTCCACTTTCAGGCAAAAAACCTCCTTCAGCTCAGTTAGAAGGGCTTCCTGTTTGCTCTACCCAGGAAATGAGAGGAGCAGGTCTTCAATGGAAATTTTTCACAGCCTCAGCTAAAAATAGCAGTGAGGTAAAAGAAGTGGGCACCCACTCTTACAGGGTCATTTCCTTTCTAAAAACAAGTGGGCTGCATCTGCAGGCCGATTTATTTATCGACACATTTTTTTGAGCAGCCAGTGTACCAAAAATATTGTGTACGGGTTTCCTTTCATTTAATGCAGCCATCACTTGTGCTACCACCAGAGGCAACAATCATCTTCATCTAGGAAGGGTTAAATATTGGGTGAAAAATGAGCAGATAATTAAATTACTAAATCTACAGTCTTTTGAGAAGTCCATTTTTGGTTGTTTCCCAGCCTGAGCTCTAGGCAAAGTGAAATACATCATGTAGCACCAGCAGACCACGAGCCCAAAGCCTGGCCAGCACAGGGCCCTCTGCTCCCCAGCTCCGGCAGGTTGGACGGTGTGGTGAAGGGCTTACTCAGCCTGCAAACTTCACTTTCCCTCCTGTGTGCTGCAGGGAAGGTCAGCAGTGGGTTTTGTGGGCTGAGGTTACAGGGGGACTACAATCTGAAAAGAGCTAAAATATTGCAGGGGAGCAGCATGAAACATTTACACCATAGACGAGTTGCAGGACTGTGCTCGGGCACAGTTGGGCTCTTTCTGTGTGAGCTCTTACATGTGGCAAATTGGATTTTTGTTGTAAGCATCTGAATGACAATGGAGTTTCCTGTTTTCAGTGGGTCTGAATGTCCTGTAGTCCCCTGAATTTCAGCTAAATCCATGTGGTGAGGGGAGTTAGGTGCAGTTTAGACTGGGCAACCCTAGTCTGGGAGCTCTAAGATGAGTAAATCAGTCAACGATTGTCTCAGCACAAAAGTCCTAATCTGCAACCAGAGCCCCTAAATCTAGTGAGTATATAAATGTAACAAGAATAGATCCCAAGGCAAGTATCTCCCAGCTTGGAGCCACCTCCAGACTGAGTTAAGTGAGATCACCCACCTTTGGTGATCTGCTCCAGATTTGGGAGTGCATGGATCCAGATCCAGGTGTAATCTCACTGACCTGGGTTTCAATAGTAGCTTGAACAAAATCAGCGAACTGAGACATATCTAAACTTCAGAGGAAACTGAGATCATGTGCTGAACTCGCTATTCTGAACTCCTATCTATCTTTTTTTGGTAGCATGGTTAAAATGTATCTCAAGTATCGGTTCTCATTATTTGCTCATTTCTAGCCGAGAGGAAATGGAGATGATGTGATTAATAAATAAAATATTGTTATTTAAGATGCCTGGCATGTGGCAGCTCTGGAGCACACTGCTATTGATCCATTTAATGAGAGAGAACTGATTAAATGGGCTCACGAGGACATATGCCAAGATAATGAAAGATTAAATCATAAAAAAGGATATTGAAATTACAGCTGACGTCAGCCATCCAGACCAAGGAAATGCCTGGTTAGGCCTGAATCCCTTCAGCATATCCTCTGTTAGATACTGCTGTTGTACGAGTATGACAACAGCCCTGGTGCTTGGAGATCCCAGAGTTAGCTGAATGCAAAGGCTGGCTGAAATCATGGGAGAATGTCTGCGTTCCTCTAATCACTCAGCTTTGATGGGTTAGAGTCAGTCTCTCAGGCTCCAGTCCTCAAAGACATTTAAGACTCTAATTCACATCCTCTCAGATAGAAATCTGGAGTGTATTCACTTGCGGGATGATAGTGGGTTGTATTAAATACCGAGCTTCAACTAGTAGTCCAGAGACAGAAAACAGTCTCCAGTTTTAGCTGGCAATGAGTCAGGCCCCTTTTAATTGATTATATACACGCACACACACTCGTATGCATGCGCACACACACACTCACACACACATCGAATAACACCTTCACTAGCGTTACTCCATGTCTATGTCTGGAGTAACATGGATGAAGTCAATGTTGTCACAGCGTATACCCGTGGCAGTGACTGGGCTCTCGTGCCCTTTGGGTCTCATCAGAGGAGACAAAGCTCAGCTCCAGTGGGCTCCTCCCTGCAATATTCCATGTTTGCTCTGCCAACGCGGCCAAGAGGCGTTTTTACATGCAAAGCAGACACAAGGCACGCAGGGAGGAACTAATGGCATAACAGGGACTGGGGAGGAAAGTTGAACCCTGAATTTTCAGTGTGTCCTCAAAACATGGCCCTAACGTGGTTCTAGCTGCTGCCTGGAAACAACAGGACACTTTAGCCCAGCATGCACAACCCCATCTCTCCTTCCCTGCCCACCAGGCCCCAGCTACTTCAGGACAGCTCCGTGGTACACAAGTGGGGAAGAAAAAGAATGAAAAAAAAATTAAATTAAATTAAATTAAACCCTTTAAGCCAAATAAAAAGGGGCATGACTTTTTAATTGAAAAAATAAATAAATAAAGGTTAAGAGAAACACACAGCTGGAGAAAAGGCAGAAAAATACCAATTACCTTTCTTTTTGATTGCTTGGATCAAAGATCACAGTCATTCTTTTTCATATAATGTTTTGTATCCAGCTAAGGTGTGTATCTATCAGCTCTGAAAAAGATTTGCAAAACCATTTTTGAGAAAAAAAGGTAACCTTTGACCTATGTTGCAAGGCCAAATGTTACAGTTTTCAGCTACTCTTTAATTGTGTGGTTTAATTTATTAAAAGGACATTTCAGCATATACAATACATAAGGCAGAACTTAACCGCTGACCTTTCTGTTTGCTCAGATCCAGAACTAGATTTTACTTTTTACCCCTCTTTTCTCAACTGCTAATATCTAAAAGTAAGTACACATCTAAATTGATGACAAAACAGATGCGAAATGCTGGTAATTTGATCTGAGACTTCAGAGGCACAGGAGGTCCGTGCATCTTGTAAGTCAGGTCAAAGACTAGTCACTGCCTTTTGCAATATTCAGTTATATTATCATCTTAGTGGCCCAAATAAAACATGACACATTTATGCCAGATCAAAAGTCAGTCCCTTTTAAACAAGAGATCTAACCGCAGTGGCCATGTAACTTAGACTTTGCCTAAATTGTAAAGAACAGGAAAGATATGTGCAAAGAAATTACATAATTTAGTGTCTTTGCTTCAAACACAAATAAGGTGATTTTTTTTTCTCATAAAATGGCAATATTTTAATTTCTGTTTCATTTTTTTTCTGTCTCATCTTTTTAGATTTCTTTTGAATTAATAATGAAAGCATTTGGCACTTCTGCAAAACCATGTGGAAATTAAAAAGAATCATTGCAATATTGAGGAGGAAAAAGTGTTTCTTAAAAACTAAGTTAGTTTTGAGTGCAAGATTCAGAAGTGTCTTTGCTGCTGGATTTCAGGTGACTATATATAGAAAAGAAATATTTTACTTGGCTCCCAAAGATTGTGCAGCCACGTATCATACACTGGAACCTACCACTCAGTACACAGCCTATTTTATATTCTGCATCCTGGAAAATCAGCTTTTGCACATGCAAGCAGAGCAACTAATTGGCTGGTAAATACAAACTTAGATGTATCGGGCACAAGGAGCCCAAACCCAACAAACTCTGTTGGGGAAAAATACTGGGTGTGTGCGGGGAGGTTGTTTTATAAATCAACAGCAATGAAAGGCTTTTTTTCTGGAAAATGGCGACGTGTAACTTAGCTGTAAAGCTTTACTTTCATTACATGTCAAAAAAAGGTTTTACTCCTTGTTGAAAGAATGCCAACAGATGCACCCTGCAACTTTTCTTCCTTGTCCTGCTGGAATTCTATGCAGTCTGTGTAAACTATAAACCTCTTAAACACCATCCAGCCCAACAGCAATCAAGTCATTTCCATTAATTAAACAAACTTTTGGAAGAAGTTACTGATCTCAAACTAAGTGGCAATTCAGGTCCCATGATGCATTTTTGCTATAATAGTTTCAATAGACATGAAACCCAACAGCATCTTTCCATGAATTTAACATCATAATATAGATATCTTACAGAAAACAGAATCTAAATAAAATGCATATTTTTGGCTAAAGCCTGTCCCAACTGAAATCAATATCTAAACTCCTTGTGATTCACAGGATCTGGATTTCACTCACAACATTTAAATATCCTTCCCTTATATTTCAGTATAGTTCCAGAGTGAGAAGCAAAACTAAAACAATCAGTATCTATGGTACTATACCACCAAAATCTTTAACAGGAAGCTGGGTGTGCCTGTAAGAAGAGAGCAGAAGATAAAGATAGCATTTCTGCTAAAAAAATTTCAGTGTCCTAAACGCATCAAAACTATCAAGAAGGAAATACTCAAAATACAAATCTGTCTGTGACACTACCCCAGAAATTTTCCAGATTTTCTAAGTACTTCTATTATTGTCAGGATGCTTCCAGAAAAGATCAACAGCCTATCACTACAAAACAACTGTGTTAAAGCTGTCAGGAAAAAGCGTGACCTAGTGACAGAAGACTGGACATTGGAACTCCAGCAGCCAGACCTCTGCTACATCATCACCTTGCCCTGTGGCCCTGGCCAAATCCAAAGTAACCCTGAAGGACCAGATTTATTACAGGTTTCCTTTGGTCTGAAAAATGGAGAAATACTGCGAAGGTCACACTCAGGGAACTTAAATAATTCATGCCTAGCTAACAGAAGGCGGCCTGAAATGATGACGACCTGCACAGAATGAGCCTATACTAACTATGTGTGTGGATGTGCTAGAGAACAATCATTTCCAAAAGTCCCTACTGGGATGTTTTAAAGTCCTTAGGTAGTTTAGATCCCAAACTACCAAAGACATGAGGCACTTAGGCACTCTAAATATTCTAATAGGCAACAATTTGGGTTACCAACCTAAAACCTAAAGCCCATAAATGTCAGTCAATGTTAGAGGGTTAAATACCTCTAAAAATTTGGTCCAAAGTATTTCTATTAGGAAATTGATCCAGCATAAGCAACAGAGAACACTTTGAAGACAGTGACCTGTTCTGACTTCACTGTATAGCACCAGGAGAATGAGGAGCATCCCTCAGTCCTGAGGATGCCTTGTCCTGGGAGACACTGGGGTACCACTTGTGAGAAGCCGCACAGATGCTCTCTCCACTGACTCTGCGGGAAGTCTGGTATCCCGAGACAGCTGGTAGCCTGAATAATTTATTTTAGACAACCAAACCTTTGCTTTTGTTTATTTGTGCATTAACTTCAGACAGAAGTTGTTACTCTGCAGTTCCAGTTCTCCACAAAGTGACCAGTCAGAAGGGAAGGAAAAGAGAGCAGTTTGCAGCAGTGGTGATAACACAGAACCTGTGCTGCTCTCCCTGTACTACCTGCCGTGCATGGAGCTGTTGGGTGCCTGTCCTGTTTTGCCATGCTTCACCTCAGCTTGTTACACAAATGGTTACAATCTTGTAAATCAGTAATAAATTGCACCTGAACCTGCAAGTGATTAGTAAAAAATCATTACACTTCCATGGCCAGAGGACTTTCACACAGTTAATCAGTTAAGAAAAGAACTGGGTGTTAACTGGTTGATTAATTCCCTGGAAGACTAGTTTATTGAGACCTCGGAGCAAGAATACTGAAATCTGAATTGCAAGCAACGTATGAGAGAGTTATATTGCTCACAAATTACACGCTCTCCAGGAGAAACAGGTGCCAAATGTTGCCCTACAGTAAGCTGAATGGAGGAATCCTAAGGCTAAGCAGGTGCCATTTGTGGTGCTTTCAGTTATTTAATCCATTTGATCCCTGTTTGAATCTGCTAGAAATCAATGCATAAATTTTTCTAGGCACCTCCTCCATGAACCAGGAACCCGGGATTATGTGCCATTTGAAGGACACACATGCAAGAGCTTTCTCATCCTGGGTTGTTGGCTAGAAGAACAAAAAAGCAATTTTTGCTCCAGACTGTGATTTCCTGTCTGCTTGATGGATTTCAGTATTTAGTTGACAATTTTTAATCAGGAGATTCTAAGACAGGCACAAACCCTGCCTATGCATCAACTGGAGAAAGAAGCCACATCAACTGGTGATCTGGACAGTGCACCTTCAGGCACAACATCATGCCCTTTCCTTCCTGCCCCTCCAGGCTTCAGCATATCACCGTGGGAAGCCCTGGGAGCTTGTCTTCAGGCTCAGTCCCTGCTGTAAAACCCCTTAATTTAGAGGAGTTGCATCCTAGTCACTGCATGAGTGCAATGGGAGGAGGCATCCCATCAAACCGCGGTGTTTCTTTAAATCTCATCCTCAGAACCCTTTTTCTCCTCAGTCCACAGCACTGCACATACTGAAACCGAACCCAAGAGAGGGTGTTCAGGGTGGCACCCGGTGCAGGCACTGCCAGTCTCCTTCACAGCTTACCTGGCAAAGGACTGGCTCTGAATATTAATGCTAATGCTGCCGGGAACTACATGAATATGAAGCAAAACCTCTTGTATTATTAGATTTCCTAAGACTACGATAAATATCCTGTTTATTTATTAAATAAAGTCTTTAAGTCTGTTTAGTTGCTACACGTAAGGCATAAAGGGACTGCAACAAAATGTGCAAGTTCTTCTACGAGTGTCAGCAGCCACTTTGGAAAGAGTACCTTGAAAGTGGAAAACTAGATCAGCCTGGGTGTGATGAGGAACTCCAGGCCACCGTGGATTTGGTTTGTAGTAGCTTTCCATAACAAAGTCTTTTTTTAACTGACTTTCTTTCTGCTCACATATATTTAGATATGACTTTCATTCTGCAGTACTCTGATGCCAGAGAGTTTTGGCTGCAATTGTAAGGGAAGGGACACGTGTTTGAGTCATGCAGTTGGCTCTCTCTAGTAGATAGTTAGCAAGTTACTGAGAAAAGATGAAGTTTGTATTTAGATTTAGCTAACATGCAACGAGACCAAGTAAAATATTCCAAGTAGAATACACACATAATAAATAAATACACAAAAACTTATACCAGAAGGGAATGGAGTTCATTTTCTTAAACCACATTACTTGGCTAAACCAATACAGAAATATTAGGCCGATGGACTGAAGCTTAAGAAACACAAGGCAAGAGTCTTCATTTTGTCACTCCTAACTCTTGATCTAACTCTGCAGCAGCTGCTGCAAAGCACCAGGATGTCTCATGTCTTTTTTTTTGTGTGTGTGGCTTGGACCTTACGAATTTGCTACATAACTGCTGAGATCAGCAGTGCCATTTGGTATTAAGACATATTTCTTCTAGATTAAAAACAACAAAACCAAAGGAGGTTGGTGATGATTTTTTCCTACAGTAGCTCGCACCTCAAGGTTTAAAAGCTAATGAAGTTGGTAATAGATACCACAGCGCCTCTAAAATAGCAACTGCTGGCAGGAAAAGCACACAAGTGATAGCACTATTTATTCACATGCCCCTTTGCAGTTTCATCATTCTCCTAGACTTAACCTATTTACTAAGAGGCGATATGAGTCATTCAGCGAAGTGTTTCAAAAACGGAGAGTGAAAAGAGAACGGATGGGAGAAAGCTATTTTTTACAGGAAATAATTGGGGGGTAGGAACCAAAGAACAGTTATAGCATGTTCAGGATTAGCTGAAAGTAACA